TTACTTTTCCTTTGTCACAAAGACAGAAACGCTCACGTGATTTTGATTAAACCATCTAATTTTTTGAAATTCTTACCGTTGTAAGGAGATGGTTAAGGAATAAAAACAGCTGTAACCCGGCGGAGTCCCTGTTCCGCTGTCACGTTATCGATCTCCTCTCCTGATGTATGTGTCTATACGTAATAAGGCGTCGTGCGGCAGAAATTGTTCCCACTTATCAGTTAATGACACATTTAAAGACGTTAATGTAAAAAACGCGAATCCTCAACCCCGCACAATCGACAGTTAACTACACAGTAAAACAATCCCGAGTATATCTGTAGACATAAAAGTAACGTTTACACAAACAAAACACGCTAATCTGACACGAGTGAGGGGACGCAGACTCGCCGGTTACCGTGCCAAGACGTGCGAATGCGATGCATATACATTGCGCGTAAGCGTGCATGAAGATTTTACATACATCGAGAAGCGGTTATTCAATCTTACCGAACCCCGATGAAAATTAGCAATTAATGAGCAGGAAATTACGGACGGGCAACATTTTACTATTTAATATGTTCTCGGGGTAGTACAGGACTGACTTCCTTACACAACCAACCACCCTAAAAACGATTACTGGCACCGAACATCTTATCTATAGGCAATTACGATTGGGCGGGAAATTAGTCCTATTTCTTGATAGAACAATTGGCCGACGTTGCTGATGAATGATTACATCTAAACCAACTTGTACTTTTCCGAACTCGGCACCGAAGGGATGTATAATATTGCATAACTACCATGCTCCTAGGAAACCGACCTAACGAGTCCAAAAGCTGTGGTTATCCGTATAATTACACTGTATAATCACAAGTCTGTTAAAACGTTCACATTACATATTAACTCCACGCCAACCTCAATATATTGTCAACTAGATACAGGGAGCGTGACGATCGTCGGACACGTGCGCAGGACAGTAAACAATGTTGACTTTGTCAAGGTCGCCTAACGAGTTCAATGCATGAACTTAACTACATATCAACGTACTGATCAAAAAGTTATTAGCTTTACGAATTCTGACAGGCGTTTGGTCACTGCGGTCAGCTCAATGGTCAGTATTGAGCCGACAGTAATCTGGACTCTGATCACAGGCGCCAGTGCGGATTAGACGGAGCGGACGGTAATTTGGGCGGTACAGGAAGTGATTAGGACAAGAGATAGCAGCCAGGTGAGAAAAAGTCACAGCACCTGTTGATTCTAACGAGCAAGGGCTGCTGGACAACTAGCCACTGGTCATTGTGCTTCATAGCTGGACAGAATTCCGGTCCGTCAACTACCCTCGCTACCGCCATTGAACCTATGTTGTGGGTAAGGGGTGAAGAACGGGAGACAGACAGCACAGGACAGAAGTTGACGCTCACACGTAACAGCTTGTGCAGTAGCAAACAAGGTGACCGCCTGGCTAGACGCTCTTCACTTAACACACACGTATTCTTCACTTAAAACACATTTATTATTCATCTTCATTTTCTTAAACAAAATGTAAACGCGTTTTAACACTGAGATGTGTCAATACCCGTCAGTAAATTTCATTTGTCTACAAAAGTGACAGGTATCTTACTTAATTCTAGCAGGTCAAACCATTTTTAATGAAGTGCTTTTAAAAAGAGTCTTAATTCCTTTGAAGATTTATCGATCTAACATGTTGGTATGAGAGCAGGCTCCAGTGTTAAACTTGTCCGACATTCGTTGATATCGGGTGATCCTGTGACGCGCTTATCTCTAAACACTGCAAGAGAGGGAGCAGCTCGCGGGACACAGAAACCAGTCAAACTTGGTTTTCTCATAAAACTTCGGGACTAACCCTGTTTTGAACCGCGCTACAATTACCGGTAATTGGCCCTGTGTTTCAGACCAGCTATGATGCATTTGCCATCCCCTTGTAAATTACAATTACTGAGGCGTCAGTCTGTAAGGCGGTGTGTGTAAACATGTACTCGTAGGGCCAGCCCGGGGGTGCCCGGTAGGGACGGGGAAAACTATAGGGAGGGGTAAATTGATAATGTCACGAACTAAAAAATCTCCAAGGTCAAGGCTCCAATTGACCACTAACCGAGTCGCCTGTCATTTCTGTCAGGCTGAGTCGGGACCCTATTTATTAAACCCCCGTACCTATACACATGTTGTCAGTTGCTTCCGTGTTCCTTTTATGTTTTTTCTCCGCGTGTGGTTATTTAGTTTCTGTCTGATTTTTATTATTCTGTCGCTCAGATCAGCTGCGAACGGTTAAAGTGTTTACAGAACTTGTCAGTAGCTGTCACCGCCGCCCGGTCTGATTCTGTCTGCAAGAATGAACACTTCCGCCGCCATAGCTGGCCCAGCGGGTGGACACACGTGCGAACTGTACTCTATTAAGCGTTTTAAAGATCGTACGGAAAAGAAAACGTTTTAGAGATCTTGTTGAGAACGAAATGCTCTTGTAAAGCAATACTGAATATATATTACTGGAAGCAAAACATTAAGAGGACTTGACAGATTGCAAAATAGCGTAACTGAAAAAAAGGAAATCCGCATTTACTGTTATTGGTTTAACGAGTTCACGGTCACTGAGGATAAATGTTCACAGACAACAGCCGAGCAAAGGCTAAACATTTCAAAATATTTGTCTTGTACCGAAGATTCATTTTGCAATAAAGCCAAAAGATTTTTATAATGTTTATATTTATTGTTTATAATTATTTTAAACGTTTGTGTGTGTTAAAAACGATTAGTCTTTTCACACGAAAACTAACTTATCCAACTGTCACGGCTGGCATTCTTCGATTCTCAGAACAAAGCGTTTTATCTGGGGATCAATATAACAAGGATTATTTTGGATCGAAATCAAAATTTCTGGTAGGAGACGCCGAATTACAATAGTAAAAACACGGTTCTTTCTTGACCTTTATCATGTACATTAAATCTCGTGCATTTCTTGATGAAATTATTGATCCAAAATACAATACACATTATAATGCAACAAGCATTAATGAAATGGCGAATGTACACAAGCAGCAGAACGTGAGTTACATAACCCGATGCTTACCGGCGCGACAAAGCGCCCTCTGGGGGGTAGATTAACGGACAGATTGTACTCTATATTTACTTTTTACATGCATGACAGATTATGAAGGTTTCTGTTCATCCCTATATCTAATATTTAAAAAGTATTGAACTTTTGCTCGTCATCCGTGTCCGGATAATTTATGTCAGTACTTGATTTCAAGTTTTCTAAAATATATCAATTCTCGATATTAATCGAAGTAATTTTCATTCATTTGGTCAGATGTCATAAACATGTAGGCCCGGAAGCGCCTATTGATGACAGTACCGAACACCTTTTTTACAGGTGACATCGTGGGTAACATCGTAGGTAACAATTACATCGTGACAAGTCATTATTCACGGCGTTATGACATCTCCAATATACTGATAGCATCGCCTGCCCTGGAGAAAACATGGTCACGTTCTAGTAATACGGTTTTATTGTTACACAATTATCAACATATTACGCATTATACTCCTACAGTGTAAGCTATGAATACTAAACATTTGAGTCCGCTTCATTTACTTTTAATCAAACCATTTTTTTATCGGCAACCCTGGTGGGGAGAAACAGCGTTCTCAGTGGACAGCCAACCACCTTCCGACGCCAGTGTTGGGGGTGAATTACCGTGATCATGAACCCTATCCTATAGTATATGTATGACTTAACAAATATATTACGATGCTATAATGGCATGGCCTGGGCGAGACTGATAACACAATCCTAGGAAATATGAAAACATAAATTGACTGAGGCGTTCACGGGCTCGTCTAGATAGTCTACAAATCATGATTAACCTATCCACACCAGTGACAGGCAGCACGTGCTCTCGGACTACAGCTAAATGTTTTCTCAGACACCAGCAATTGGTGGTTGGACTCCGGTAGATTTCAGGCATCGGCTGTACCCAATATGTACCGGTAGATTTCGGGCATCGGCTGTACCCAATGTGTACCGGTAGATTTCGGGCATCGGCTGTACTCAATGTGTACCGGTAGATGTCGGACATCGGCTGTACCCAATCTGTACTTTGTCATATTGATGCAATATTTGACCAACTTTAACACTATATTATATATAATGTCATGATAAATATTATTGAACGAATAACTGGGCTTATTTGCGGATTAGTTTGCGTTTAGGGGATGGTATGTTATTATACGCCGTTAATACGTCTGTGATTATTGATGGACTGACAACACTTATATACATAGTCCGGTAATCCCTGAAGGACTGACCGCAGCAATCACTGACACTCCTACACGCAACTGATACATCATGCATGCAAGGATGCTAATTTTCCCATTAAATGTCCGAACGTAAAATGAGTGTTTAAACGATCTGGTTATTGTCGGTCGTCGTGTTGTACAATATGTACTTATAACAGAAGATTCCTTGTTAATAAATAAATGACATGCTGATCCCCGTTATCCAAACTCTCCAACCCAACACTTCGTAACCATAAACGTTATAAAAATCTATACGCCAAACCTTCCAACCCAACTTTACAAATCCTGTATGTACTTGTGCGGTACCACTAAAGCACACATATCCCTGTGTTTCACCCAGACTATTGACATACTACGACACCCGAATATCGCTCGTTAACAGTTGAATTGGAAAATTTTCAATTTATAAAAAACCGCATTTGACGTACATGTATAACTTCGCTAACGAAACTGTGTTAAAGTCTTTAATAGGGTACCTAGTTATGCAGAAGCACGCCTGCGTCAGATCAGGTGAAAACTTATCCTCCCCGTGCATTTTAATCAACAATAATTAAATCTTTATCTAAAGGTGTTTAGGAGATAACGTGCGGTTATATGCGTGTATAATAATATCCTGCTCAATTTCTGTTACAAAAACTAATAGAAAAAAGAAATCAATCTTGATTTGTATAAATTAATAAAATATTAATTGTGGTTGTACATACCGAGAAGTAAGAAACAGCGTGAGTGTTGTCCGGCCATAGTCCCACTAGCGTATAGTATCCACGGAGACGTGTGCACCGCTCAGCCGACCTAAACCGAATCAGCCAGTCCCTCTCCGGGACCTGCTCTTGTACGGAAGTGTGGAGGGGTATATAGTCAGGTGCCCCGCGTCACCGTGTTAATGAGACACGGTAACACTTCATCATATTGTGATAAACATCCATCTCGTGTCAATACAGCCGTATTTAGAATAATGGACGTTATCATTCCGCTTTATCTTAATTGCAGATTTATCTGTAGGCTGTAAAGAACGATTCGGTCTTGGTTTGGGCCGGTCAGTATGCCCCGCCCCGGGCCGCACTTCACAGTCCGATATACGGTTCTGCACCTTTTGTTTGACGTTTCAACAGTTTCTCATTAAACGACACTCTTAGCCTAAACCAGTCATAATGAAATTTTTAACTATTACTTATTCACCAGTACTTCATAATTCATAAATAGTGTTTGGGTCTATCGAATGATTACTAAATGAACACCTGTGTTCCTAGGGTTAGGCCCGTACCTGACACTCGCTCCGTACTGACACAGATCCCAGTGAGATTTAGATACACTTGTGTACGTGGTTCGTAGCGGTGACAGCAGGAGCAGACAGTCTATCGCCCACAGATACACGGACAGGGAGGAATATCAATCGGATCACCCATTATATAATAGGACTGCAGCAGTTATTCAACATGTACATGGCGAGATAGGAGAACGGTAATACCGGCGATTACATTGAGGCAGAGCCACAGCGTCAATGTTGGGGTTGATAGGCCCTAAATTAGACTGTTTAATGGTCCTTTTATATACACCAGTGTTGCCCCAGTGATCATAACGCGCCGATATGAACTTATATCTACACAAATGTTACTGAGTAAGGAAATGTGTAGTTATAAATAAACGACTGTAGTAAGCCACGATAACGTTTTCCCCTGTAGACGAAACCCGTTTTCTTCCGAGAAATGGCGGAAAATTGTCATAAATGATATTAGAGATATATAATGATACTAGTTGAATTACGCAGGGCAACGTGTACATAGTATAAACAAATACGAAACACGTTCATTAAGATATAAACAAACACGCACTGCGTTCGTACAAGTTATTAATACGAACTGCGTTCATACACGATACCACTAAATACGAACTGCGTTCATACACGATACCACTAAATACGAACTGGGTTCATACAAGTTATTAATACGAACTGCGTTCATACACAATACCACTAAATACGAACTGCGTTCATACACGATACCACTAAATACGAACTGGGTTCATACAAGATATTAATACCAATTGCGTTCATACACGATACCACTAAATAGGAACTGGGTTCATAAAGATATTAATACCAACTGCATTCATACACGATACCACTAAATACGAACTGGGTTCATACAAGTTATTAATACGAACCGCGTTCAAACACGATACAACTAAATACGAACTGGGTTCATACACGTTATTAATACGAACTGCATTCAAACACGATACCACTAAATACGAACTGGGTTCATACAAGATATTAATACCAACTGCGTTCATACACGATACCACTAAATACGAACTGGGTTCATACACGATACCACTAAATACGAACTGCGTTCAAACACGATACCACTAAATACGAACTGAGTTTATACAAGTTATTAATACGAACTGCGTTCAAACACGATACCTCTAAATACGAACTGGGTCCATACAAGCTATTAATACGAACTGCGTTCAAACACGATACCACTAAATACGAACTGGGTTCATACAAGTTATCAATATGAACTGCATTCAAACACGATACCACTAAATACGAACTGGGTTCATACAAGTTATAAAAACGAACTGCGTTCAAACACGATACCACTTAATACGAACTGGGTTCATACAAGTTATTAATACGAACTGCGTTCAAACACGATACCACTAAATACGAACTGCGTTTATACACTATACCACTAAATACGACCTGGGTTCATACAAGTTATTAATACGAACTGCGTTCAAACACGATACCTCTAAATACGAACTGCGTTTATACACTATACCACCAAATACGACCTGGGTTCATACAAGTTATTAATACGAACGGCGTTCAAACACGATACCACTAAATACGAACTGAGTTTATACAAGTTATTAATACGAACTGCGTTCAAACACGATACCACTAAATACGAACTGGGTTCATACAAGTTATAAAAACGAACTGCGTTCAAACACGATACCACTAAATACGAACTGGGGTCATACAAGTTATTAATACGAACTGCGTTCAAACACGATACCACTTAATACGAACTGAGTTCATACAAGATATTAATACGAACTGCGTTCAAAAACGATACCACTAAATACGAACTGGGTTCATACAAGCTATTAATACGAACAGCGTTCAAACACGATACCAATAAATACGAACTGAGTTCATACAAGATATTAATACGAACTGCGTTCAAACACGATACCACTAAATACGAACTGGGTTCATACAAGTTATTAATACGAACTGCGTTCAAACACGATACCACTAAATACGATCTGGGTTCATTCACGATACCACTAAATACGAACTGGGTTCACACAAGATATGAACACGAACTTCGTTCACACACGATACCACTTAATACGAACTGGGTTTATACAAGTTATTAACTAATACAATGAACAAGCCAAATATTTGATTTTGGGGATAGTAATAAGATGCTTAAGGATTGGGAATAACAAGAGTTAGGAGAGCATCGTACATTTAATCGTAGTTTCAAACCTGTATAAAGAACTGTAACCGAACAAGGTCTTGTGACCATATATAACCTATTCCATCTGGAGCTTGTATCGTAGGTATCTGTCATAGCAGTACAATCTCACTGTTGGCTGATCGCGTCCATGAATAAATCGATATATTTGACAACAACGTAAGAAAGTATCTAACGGAATATAGAGACACATTATTTATCAACAAGGCAGAATTAACTTTATAAGAAGAGAAATAATTTCAAAACAAAACACTTACGAAATGTATTTTTTATGGATCTATGGAAACTACTGGGAAACAAGTTAGAAAATATGATGAAACACAATCGAGAAAAATATATTAGAAACTCTGTTACGAAGCATTGGCAAACTGATGAAATCAATCAGGTATTTACACAAAACAAACAATTTAATCTACAGTATAAAACAACAGAGGAACAAGTTAGAAACACCTATCTAGAGAAGCTAGAACTAGCGAACAAAAACCCATGACCAGTAAGAAAAACCAAATTAAAAATCAGTAATAATTTCGTAATGAAAACAATTGAGACACACGATGGAAGCATAGAAACAAATATGAACTGAAGTAAACGATTGAGAAACAAATTCATGCATCGTTAGACACAGTGGATAGAAACAAGAACAATACATTACAGGACACATTACCGGAACCACGTACAGGTTCCGACAATGCTTGCCGTCCTGTAAGTTTACCTGGTGTTGTTATAATTTGAAGATGGATTTGCTACTATTGCAGAAGTTTTATGCGTGTTTTAAAGTTCGAGCACACATTTCTGTTCTAGTCTGTTGGAACCATTACATATCATTACTAATTAAGCGTGCGCTCTCATAGATAACTGCAACATTGAATGTTCCAGACCTCATGTGTTCAAACTGGACAACGGCAAACTGATGATAAACAGTTGATTTCTAATTGGGGAATATTTGGGCGGAACGCAGAACGACATACCAATTACCTCAATTTTCAGAGATAAATGTAGACGACAGTGTGTGAAGGTGATTGGTACACTTTAAAATAATCTACAGTGTTTGACCCTGTGTGTAATTATCTTTGATAAGGTAATTAAGTTGTGGACCCTTCTGTCACCCTACATTGACTGAACCTCGTTCAGGTGTGCTATTCCCAAACCTTGTTAGAACGCTTATATCTTTAAGTGTTTTTTATTTTCTCTGGACACATCTTTCTCATGAATGCTCTTTATCATATACCAGTGCTCGATGTATTCCGACTTCCTACGATGTGATGTGAGCCGAGTATAAAGATGGCTTAATGTGAGAGAACACAAAACAATATGTCTGAATGGCCTTCGACTCGTCAAAAGTGGGGCGATGGGAGTTTCAGTTCTGCCACCAGACAGCAATATGCATTATGCGTAGAAAAACTGTGATATTATTGTCAGAGCACTTATATATATCTTCGGCATGGATGTACAAAGATAATTATTTTTCCTAAATGTGTATTTAAGTGAGATTATTCTACCCTTGGCGAGCTGTCAGAACCTCTTTGTTAAATCCGACGTTAAGACTAGCTAAGGGCCATACGTCAGAACCTTCGAGTGACACAAGCTTATCGTCAACACACGTCACCCAATTAAAACACTCGTCAAACTGAATAACGTACAATTTCTTGAACTCAATCGTTGGAATCCTCTTCAAACCTTAATAGAACCAAGTTTAAAGCATCGCATTTGACAAACTGTACAAACTGAACCTTGACCTTGGTTAGACACATGTCTACTTACACTTAGGACACACACGTTTTTCAGTTTTGGCCTTGTTTTGACACTTGGCTTCATTCGGCTTTGACCTAGTTAAGAAACATTACTTATAATACAGCTTTGACCTTGTTAAGAAACATTACTTATAGTACAGCTTTGACCTTGTTTTGACACTTGTCTTCGTTCATATTTCACGTTGTTTAGACATGCCTCAATACAGCTTGACATTGTTTAGACACTTGTCTTTGTTCATACTTCACGTTGTTTAGACATAACTTAATACAGCTTTGACACGGTTTAGACGCATTCCTTGACAAGGGAAGTAAATCTAAGTAAGAAAAACTCATTTTTGTTACCTCTTCTCCTATAAATGTAAACGGAAGTGTCAAGCTTCGACATTGAGACACATGCCTTAGTACAGTTTTGACCTTGTTTAGACACGTGTCTTTGCGCAGTTTTGACCTTGTTTAGACACGTGTCTTTGCGCAGTTTTGATATGTTAAGGCACATGTCTTCCTACAGCTTCGACACTGTTTAAACATATATCATTGAACAGTTTAAACTTACGATTAAACCCGTGATGTTCCCCAATCTCTGATCATTCTCTATCCTAAATATATGTAAGTTTTATTTTTCTATATGTTAAGCATTTAATTTCATTTAGTCTCACTTGTAATTATTGTGTATATATATGTTACCGCTCTGTACCATTGAATTGGTTTGTGACGAGAATAAGATTAATCTGTAACGATTAATTAATGGATTTGAGGTCGGTGATATTTTCGGAAACTTGTGGGCAATGTTCTGGACTTTGAAGGTAGTGACTGTGTGCATTCGCTATGAATTTTTTTTCGAATCCGTGTAAACACATTATTTATGGTATATTTGTTCTGAACCATGTGGAAGTGAAGTCGGGAGAGATGTTAATATAAAGACAAATCGACGTAATCCAATCACCGACGTCAACACATAGATTAGCCAATCACTGACATAGATAGATTAGCCAATCGTTAACAACAACACATTGATAGATTATCCAATCACTAACAACAACACATAAGATTGATCAGCCAATTACTGACAACAACACATAGGATCATCTGATCAATCAGAGCTCTATCTCTGTAGATTAGATGATAAGCAATGTAT